CGTGCTGCTTGTAAAATTTCTGCGAACTGTTGCGCGCGTGGCACCGGGTTGTCTGGATTCGGAGTCATGGGCACTGTGGTGTCTTGTCCGTAATTCAGGTGAAACGGTGACTATTGGATCGTGGCAGATGGCAAGTTGTTGTGCGCGAACTCGATGAGTGGCAGTTGGTGTTCCCAGGTGGTCGGGTCGTCGCACATGGCTCGAATGAGTTGCTCCATGGTCTTGTTTGTCCGTTCTGTCTGTCCGTCGGTCTCAGGGTGGTACGAAGAACTGAATTGTAGTCGCGTGCCAAACTGCTGCCACAGGTTTCGCCAGAAGTTGCTGGTGAATTTCGTGTCGCGGTCGCCGGTGATTGATGCTGGTATCCCGTGTAGTCGAACGACGGTGGAGATGAAGAGGTGGGCTGTTTCTTCGGCTGTGATTGATTTCTGGCAGGCTACGAAATGTGCCATTTTCGTCAGCCGATCGACGACGACCAGGATCGCGTCGTTCCCACTTGCTCCAACCGGTAACCCTGTGACGAAGTCCATTGTCACCTGCTGCCAAGCACACTCTGAGGGTGGTATCGGCTGCAACTGTCTTGCCGGCCGCTTCCGTGATGATTTCATGAGTTGGCAGCATCGACACGTGTCGTTGCACGTCGGTCAGCATTTCGAGGCAGTAGTAATACCGCTGCAGCTGCTTCCGTGTTTTCTCTACTCCGTAATGTCCTAAGGTAACCCTGTCATGTGCCTTCTATAGTAACAGCTCTCTTAGTAAAGTGTAGCCCGGTACCCAGATGCGGTCGGTGCCGACTTTTACGTAATATACCCCTTTTGCTGCTGCGAGTTCCCTCGAGTGAAGGACGGGTCTATCTGGTAGCTGTGGGTAAATAGTCCTGTAAGCAGTGGGCTGGTCTGTGCATGTAGTATGGCGTGAATTTGGGCAGTGGGGCGGGTCAGTGCGTCAGCGATGTTTGATGCCCCCTTTTTGTAGATGACGGTGTAGTGAAAATTCGACTCGAGGAAGTCGAGCCAGCGAACCTGTCGTGGGTTGAGGTGGGGCTGTGCGCGGAGGTACTGTAGTGATTTATGGTCTGTCCGTACTGTCACGTCTGCGCCGGTCAAGTAACAGCGCCACACTTTGAACGCGTGCATGCACAGTCGCGAGCATTTTACGGTCGTGTATCAGGTAATTCTTCTCGCGGAGATGCAGTTTTCGTGACTCGTAGGCGATGGGCTGTAAACTGTTGCCGAAATCCTGTAGCCGTACGGCTCCAATGGCGATGTCACTTGCGTCTGTGACGACTTCGAATGGGCGGTGTGGGTCGGCGATGCGGAGTACGGGCGGTGAGCAACGAACAGTTTTCAGGGCAAAGAAAGCAGCATGCTCTTTCTCCCCCCACGTAAAGGTGACCCCCTTCCACGGCAGATCTGTCAGTGGGGCTGTTAATCGCGCCATGTCGGGGACGAACCGGCGCACATAATTGACAAACCCCAAAAAACTCTGCAGCTCCGTGATATTCGTCGGGGGGTGCCACGCTTTTACTGTATCCAGCTTTTCGGGTCAATCTCGACCCCAGCCTCTGAAATAACGTGCCCCAAGAACTCTAACCTATCCTGAAAAAAACTCGCACTTGGAACCCTTGGTCAGTAAGCGGTGCTCGTCTAAAACTCTAAACACTGCTTCCAGATATGCTAAGTGCTGCTGCTTATCGCGACTATAGACGAGGATGTCGTCGAGGTAAACTATCACGCATTTATCTAAGAGCGGTCTAAACGCCTCGTTTATGGTCATCTGAAATGCCGGTGGTCTAAACGCCTCGTTGGTCAGCCCAAATGGCATCACTGTGTACTTGAATGACCCGTTCCTAGTCCTAACAGCCGTCTTGGCGCAGTCCGATGGTTCGACCCGAATCTGATGGTAACCTCCCCGTAAGTCAATTTTCGAAAAGACCCGCGTTGTTCGCAGTTGATCTATCAGTTCGTCGGCACGGGGAATGGGGTATCGCAACTTGACTGTTACCCTATTCAGTGCCCTGTAGTATATGCACATGCGGAACCTTCCGTCTTTCTTCGGCGTGAACAGTATCGGTGCGGCGAACGGTGACGAGCTCGGTCTGATGAATTGTTTCTCTAACAGATAATCTAACTGCTTCCTCAGTTCGTCGAGCTCGGGCTGTGTCAGTCTGAACTGTCGTTGTACAGCCTGTACGCCCGGTTCTAACTCTATTCGGTGATCGTGTGCCTGCTGAGGTGGCAGTCCCTTTCGTAAATCGTCCGGAAAAAATCTCCGGGCACCGTTTCAGTAGTTCCTGTAGTTCGGGCGGTACGGCTGCCAGCAGTTTCTGAAAATCGCTCGGCTGCTCTGCTTCTCCTACCACTGCTACAATCCACCATGTTCACGTCAGCTCCAGCGGCGAGAGCCCGTTTCGTTGTGATGGTGTTGACGTGGATCGTTGAAGACTCGGGAGACCGCCAGCGAGGTAGCTCGACCCAATTACCGCTACTTCGCACAGTGCAGCTACCCGTCGTCCAGTCGATTCGCGGGTTATACCGTCGCAGCCAATCACGTCCTAGTAAAATATCGTGCCCATCCAGTGTCGTCGCGAGCATTTCCTGTGTAAACCCGAAGTTCCCCCCGCAGCAGACTCCACCTTCTTCCGTATGGCTAGCGGCGTGCCGTCGACTAAGCGTGCGTCTATCTCCGGTAAACACCGACTAAGTGTCAGTTGCAACTTCCGTGCGGTCGCGGTATTAACTAAGCTGTGACTTGCTCCTCCGTCTATGAAAATCTTCACTAGTGCTCCCTGTATATTCTCGTGAATCAGTACTGCGCAATTCGTCGCTGTACCCTCCTTATTCATCCGAGCCCGATCGATGGCGTGAATCGGTACTATGACTTGGTGAGGGTCGGTGAGTTTGGGCGAGCAGGCTGTCTCGTTAGTAGTTGGCCCAGTCTCTACTGACTGCTGGCGTTTCCCTGCCTCTGAGACTCCCTCCCCTGCTCTGCTCCGCGGCGCCTCAGCTCCTCTGGACATTCACTCTTGCGATGGCCCGGCCTATTGCAAGCAAAGCAGCGCCCCTTAAACGGCATGGCAGCTGCATTCGTCGCAACGGCGTGTACGGTGGCGTGCTCGGTCGGTCCCCGAGGGCGATGTCCGTAGTAGGACCCCGGTCTCGGACGGCGCAAAATGAATGCGGATTTTCTTGGCGAGCGCGAGGATCTCGTTAAAATCTGAGAGCCCGCGTAGCATGATTTAGTGTGAGATGTCCGGCTTCAGCCCTCCGACGTAACGGTCCACCCGCTCCGCTTCGTGCATGTAGCCGACTTGCTCGCATAATGCGAGAAAACCGCTCGTATAGTCTTGGACCGACCCAAGCTGTCCCCAAGTACGCAGCCTCTGACGCGCCGAAATAGGAGCCGCGATCGGCTCGAAGCGCGCCCGAAGCCCTGCGCACCACGCGTCCCACGTGTTGTACTGGGCTGTTTCGCAAAATGAACTCCAGGTGACGGCTGGACCCGCGGGCCCTTCCTCTTGCGACGGCGGCTTGTAGGCGCGTGGCAACGTCACAATGACTCGCCACCAATCCATGGCGGGGCCCCGTAACAGCGAAACCGCGTATCTGATCTTCGCTGCGTCCGATGTGACGTAATTGGCGTCAAAAAACACGTTCATCGTGAAGACCCACGATTGAACCGTCGGACCTCCGCGTTGGCTAGGATCGAAGCAGGGCGGGCGCTGCGGCTTGAATGACATTGGTGCGCCGATGTCGTCGTTGCTGACTATTGTCGCGGATTCGACGTGACGACGGGCTTCGCGAGGCCCATTCGTGTTTGGTGCGGCCCTGTTCCTCTCCATGCCAGGCATTGACTGGGCGGCGCCATCAATGGCTGCGCCTGAGCACTGTTCCACGCTGTTGTGCTGTGATGGTGTGCCAGATGAAATAACAATCAGCTCATCTGATTGCGCCGGTGCATTTGCAGGTACATTCGCTATCGATTGCTGGCGGGCGGAGTCGCGTTATGCCGTGAGCGCCGCAATCTCGAACGTCGAATCTTCCAGTTGGCGCACGAGACGATCGAGTTGCTCCTGCGTCAACGTCGCGATGTTGAACTCGGCCATGGAGGGGGTGTCGGGCAAGCTCAGCGAGAGCCTCTGTCGTGGCCGTGCGTGCTTACGAGAGAGCACTTCGAGCGGCGGTGCTTGCTCGTTGAGAGACGTCTACCCCCCCCCCCCCCTCCCCCCCAAAATTGAGATAGTGGGGAAGCGAAGGTGTGGGTGCGGTCCGAGAAGAGATCGTAGGCTCTGAATACCAAGTGTTACGAGTGCAATTGAGTGAGCGAGCGAGAATTGCACTATCGAAGCAAAACAGTACAATGAGAGAAGGCATGAGCGAAGAATATATAGCGAAGCTACAGTGGTAACGGTAATGCGTGAAATTGGGGGTGCGTGACGGGCCTGGCGCCGAGGTTGGGAATTGTCGAGGCGAAGGTCCGGAGCGCGGGTTACCAACCGAGCCGTGAGGTTGGGTCGCGGCGTGAACAGTGGCGGGAACAGTGTCGAGGCGAGTGGTAATGGTGTACTTATGGGTGCTGTTGGGAGGAACAGTGGTGTACGCGCTGCGCAGGGACGCGAAGGAAGGAAAAGGAATTTTCCTTGCATTTCGTCACACTAGTTCGTCAAGTTTTAAAAGCTTGACCCGCGCGGCCCGCAATTTGGGACTCGGGCTTTAAGTGGATTTGGGTGGATGCTGCTGGTGTACATTTCCCCAATCTGACGCGGCTCGCTAGAGATTCCAAGACGAAAATCTACACTACGAGCTGCTCGTTATGCCGTAACAGCATGACGCGAAGTTCAAATCGATTCAGCGAGGCAGGCAGGACACGAACATTCGCAAACTTGCACGTGCGCGTTTAGAAACCTCATACCTGACTAAGTTAGGCAGCAGTAGCAGCAGCAGCAGCAGCAGCAAACGATCGCGGCCATCACTCATTTTCCGCCTCACCGTGACGTAACCATGGCATTGGCTTCTACGTTCTTTCATTCAATACAAGAACAACCATTAGTGCGCGCAACCCCAGCGCCCTGTTCCCACCCTCGAACCAGTCAACGGCTAGTCGTTCAGTGCGGCCGGCACGCCGGCTCACTTCGACGGCCGAGTGAGTACAGTTTCTTGACAGTCTGCTGCCGCATCACCTCGAACTCGAATCGTTCTAACGCACTCTGCGTCATTCTAACATCCGATCGGTTCATTAATTGTTCGATTGGGTATTCCACTAGCGCGTGCGTGAGCCCTTGCCTTTGTTCCCGTCTCTTCCCCGCCCCTGCACTCGCCTTCACCGCTGTACCATCCGCTTCTGGACATTCCGCTTCCCCCTACCCCTACCCAACCCCTACCTCTCCCCTAATTACTTGTTAGAGTCCACGAGGCGGAAGTCGAAATTCGCGCGTTCCGCGGATGGGCAGCGCGCGGGGAAGAGCGGCGGAGGGGGTGGGGGTGCGTCGGTGAGCGAGGAGGTGTTCTCCTTGGGGAAGGGGTGGCTCGTCGACCCCGCCGCGCTCATGGGCGGAGAGGGGGGGGACGCGGAAGGGCGGGGGAGGGCGGATGGGCGCGGGGGAGCGGACGGCGGAAGGGCGGTGGGCGGGGGGGCGGGGGGGAATGAGGCGGGGGGGATTGTAGGTCTGGAGCCTGGGAAGACGCGCAGCACACACAAACTGCTAAAGGTGTGTGGAGGGGGTGGGGGGGGGAGGAGGGGGGTGTGTGGCGAGGAGTGCGGGGGGGGGAGGGGTGAGTGAGAGGGAGAGGGGGTTTTGTGGGAATGTGGGGGTGTGTTGTTGTGTGTGCATGTGTATGTGTGTTTGTGATGTCCCTCACGCCTCTCCCTCTTCTTTCCTTTCCGCTCAACCCATCTCCCCACCTCCAACCCATCCTGCCTCTCCGCCTCTGCCGCCCCTTTTGCTCCCCTCCCCACCCTTCCTTCTCCTCCCCTCCCCACCCTTCCTTCTCCTCCCCTCCCCACCCTTCCTTCTCCTCCCCTCCCCACCCTTCCTTCTCCTCCCCTCCCCTCCCTTCCTTCTCCCCCTCCCCCTCCCGCTTCTTCCTTCTCCTCCCCTCCCCTTCCCCCTGTGTCCTTCCCTCTTCCGATAATAGTTTTTGCAGCTTGTAATTCTTTTTTGCGGCTTGTAATTCTTTTTTGCAGCTTGTATTTCTTTTTTGACTCATTCAAGAGTTGATTGGGCGCTTTTAAGCATGTTAGAGCCATAAATAATACCTTTTGCTACTGAGCTAAGTATGTCTACATAAGCTCTAAGCTTTGAACCGATGACATAATCTACTATATCGCTTGATACTTTTTTTGTTTTTTAAAACAAATGTCAACGCGAGGCGATATTTTTTCCATAATCACTGTCATAAATACTTACGGGTATTGTATCATAAAACCCTCCCTCCTGTCCCCCGCAGACCGTCGGAGGCGCCAACCGGGGGAGGCGACTTCCACCCCCCTCCTCCCCCCCCCCCTTTCTAAAGCCACTCTTTCTTTTTTTTTTTTCTTCTGGATTTTCAACTTTAGGTTCCAGTAACGATCTACCACCATCTTGTAATCAAAGCCAGTCATACAACCCGACGCTTATTTGGTCTAAATCTTCACTTTCTTCTTGTTCCTGTTTTACTTTTGCAACGTACGCCCGATGATGGGGGGGTTGCGGGCGACCGCTTTAAACCCCAAACCCTAAACCTCGAGCCTAAACCTCGAACCATTAACCATAAAGCCTAAGGCCACTGACACCAGAATTTTCTTCTCCAATTCGGACTTCCCTCTCTCCTCTTCCTCCCCAACACCTCCTACCCTACCTTCTCCCCCCCCTCCCTCCCCTTTTCCTCTCCCTATTTCTCTCATCCGCTTCAATCTCCTCCCCCCCCTCTCTAGATCGTATCAGGCACCAACCGGGGGAGGCGCCTTCTGTCCCCCGCGGACCGCAACGTGCGGCCCATGATGGAGATGGTGCGGGCGGCGGTGTTCGACATGTTGCACGCGCTGCTGGCCGCGCCGCACCGCCTGCCGCCTGGCTCGCGCTGGCTGGACCTGTACAGCGGCACAGGGAGCGTGGGATTAGAGGCGATGAGTCGAGGGTGTGCGCAGGTGAGGGCGTGTATCACACACAGGGCACACACTCTCGTGCCGCCCGGCTCGCGCTGGCTGGACCTGTACAGCGGCACGGGGAGCGTTGGATTGGAGGCTATGAGTAGAGGGTTCACACAGGTAAAAAGGGGCTCTCTTGAATTGAATGAAGGGCGGGGCTCTGTCTGGTGGCTGCCTGGACCTGTACAGCGGCACGGGGAGCGTTGGATTAGAGGCCATGAGTAGAGGGTGTGGGCAGGTAATAAGCGGTAATGAAGGGCGGGGCTCCCTTGAGTGAAGGGCGGGCCTCTTTACGTGCGGGCTGGACCTGTACAGCGGCACGGGGAGCGTGGAGCTGGAGGCGATGAGTAGAGGGTGCGGGCAGGTGAGGGGAATGGGGGAATGGGGTCAGAGCAGCATGGGGACATGTGGGACATGAGCAGTACTTGCCAGCCAGGCAGCCGGCTCGCGCTGGCTGGACCTGTACAGCGGCATGGGGAGCGTTGGATTGGAGGCTATGAGTGGAGGGCGGAGGCGATGAGAAGAGTGATCGTGCACGTGAGGACATGTAATGGGTGGCGCAGGGCAGATGCACCTCACCAGCCACGTGATAAAAGTGTTGTTTTGAGACGACTCAAAACAACACATTTATCAGGTGAGGACATGTTTTGGGTGGCGCAGGGCAGGTGCACCTCACCAGCCTGTCTCCTCTCCTCCCTCACGCTGGCTGGACCTGTGCAGGGGCACGGGGAGCATTGGGTTAGAGGCTATGAGCGGAGGGTGCGGGCAGGTGAGGGAATGTAGCACACACACAGAGGGGGTACTGGGCATGGGCACTGCCTGGCGCCCGGATCACGCTGGCTGGACCTGTACAGCGGCACGGGGAGTGTGGGGCTGTGCTGGCCCGCAACGTTGAATTGAAGCCTGCTCCGCCTCCTCCCACACCACCCACTCGCTTTCTCTTTGGTCTTCTCTGCCTACCTTCCTACCTTCCTGCCCTCCTGCCTCCGACAACCCTTCCCTCTGCTGCAGGCGCATTTCGTGGAGATGGACCCATGGGTCGTATCCTCCGTGCTCTCCCCCAACATCAAAGCCTGCTCCGCCTCTCCTCCCACTCCACCATCCACCCGCTCTGTCTTTCGTCTTCTCTCTCTCCCCTTCCCAGGCGCATTTCGTGGAAATGGACCCCTGGGTCGTCTCATCTGTGCTGTCCCCCAACATTGAAGCCTGCTCCGCCTCCTCCCACACCACCATCCACCCGCTCAAAGTCGAGTCCTTTCTGCATCAAGCCCAGCAACGAGGAGGTATGAGGAGGTATGAGGAGGTATGAGGAGGTACGAGGAGGTATGAGGAGGTACGAGGAGGTACGGTCATGCGATGTCACCTTTCCTCTGAGGTGACTTTTGAGTCGACTCAAAAGCCACCATCCACCCGCTCAAAGTCGAGTCCTTCCTTCAGCAAGCCCAGCAACGAGGAGGTACGAGGAGGTACGAGGCCATTTTTCCTCCTCCCCTGAACCCTCCGCAGCCTTCTGCCTTGTATCTCTTCCTCCCTTGCTGTCTCCCGCCCTGCCTCTCGTAAGGCCATTTTTCTTCCCTTAATCCTCTCGTATAACCTCTATTTGTTCAGTCCCCCATCCCTGCCCGCCCTCTCCCACACCTCCCATTTCTCCCTTCTCCCTTGCCAGCTTGCCTTAACCTCATGTATCTGTTTTTTACACCTTCCAAAATCAAATATCAGCAACCTTCCATGACCTCCCGTGCACCGCCCGCCTGTTTTCCGCTGCCATTTTTGCTCTTCCAGCTGAATGCATGGCGTATTTATGAGCAGACAACTTTTAAGAATTCTCAAAGCTAAACTGCAGTTCCCCTGATCCGTGCATCAGCTGTGTTCCCCTGGTCCGTGCATCAGCTGTGTTCCCCTGATCCGTGCATCAGCTGTGTTCCCCTAGTCCGTGCATCAGCTGTGTTCCCCTGGTCCGTGCATCAGCTGTGTTCCCCTGGTCCGTGCATCAGCTGTGTTCCCCTGGTCCGTGCATCAGCTGTGTTCCCCTGGTCCGTGCATCAGCTGTGCTCCCCTGGTCCGTTCATCAGCTGTGTTCCCCTGGTCCGTGCATCAGCTGTGTTCCCCTGGTCCGTGCATCAGCTGTGTTCCCCTGGTCCGTGCATCAGCTGTGTTCCCCTGGTCCGTGCATCAGCTGTGTTCCCCTGGTCCGTGCATCAGCTGTGTTCCCCTGGTCCGTGCATCAGCTGTGTTGTGTTCCCCTGGTCCGTGCATCAGCTGTGTTCCCCTGGTCCGTGCATCAGCTGTGTTCCCCTGGTCCGTGCATCAGCTGTGTTCCCCTAGTCCGTGCATCAGCTCCCCTCAACTGCCATTCTTTCTTTTCTTTTTCCGTCAACTCTTTCCTTTTCCTGTCTCGCCCCTTTCTTCCTCTATCTTCCTGCCTTGCACTACTCGCCTGCCTTGCGCTGCTCCCCTCGCTCTCTTTCCCACAGTGGAGTGGGTGGGAGGCCCCTTCAGCTTCATCAGTGTGACACCTCCCTATGAGCTCGTCGTGTACAGTCAACTCATGGCCCACCTCGCTGCCTCCCCACCCTGTCCTTTACCACTCTCTCCCTGCTCCCCTCTCTCTCACAGTGGAGTGGGTGGGAGGCCCCTTCAGCTTCATCAGTGTCACCCCTCCCTATGAGCTCGTCGTGTACAGTCAACTCATGGGCCAGCTTGCTGCTTCGCCTCTGCTGCACCCAGACACATGCATGGTGTGTGCGTGCGTGCATGGTGTGTGCGTGGGTGCATGGTGTGTGCGTGGGTGCATGGTGTGTGCGTGGGTGCATGGTGTGTGCGTGGGTGCATGGTGTGTGTGGGTGTGTTTATGGTGTGTGGGTGTGTGCATGTGCATGTATGGTGTGTCGGTGTGTGTGTGTGTGGGTGGGGATGAGGTTGATGGGGGAGGGGGGTTATGATGGATGCATGCGTGCACAGTCAATTCATGCATAGCCCAGCTCGCTGTCTCCTTGCTCCTGCACTAACAATTATGCGTGTGCGTGCACACATGCTGCATGGTGTGTGCATAGGTGCATGCATGATGTGTGGCTGCACATGCATCGGTGAGTGGGGTTAGGGGGGTCTATCATGGCCGCATGCACGTAAAACTTCAGCCTTTTTCTTCTGTGCGTCAAAACACTTGCATGGTGCATGCGTGCGTGCAAGCAATGTATGTGAGGGGAGAACCACGGGAGCATGCATGTGCCATCACATCACAGCAATGATATTTCGGGGAATAGGAGCCAAGGAAATAGCTCTGCGCTGGTGGTAAATGCATGCATGTAGGCATGTCGCTAGTCAAGCAACATGGTACTAGTGGCACATGCTTGCCTTGTCTCTCTTCATCTTTCTTACTCTGTTTAACATACACTGTTAATGTTCATGTGTGTGTTTGTGTTAATCCTTCTCACTGTCTACCACACACCGTCCATTGCATCTCCTGCATCCTCTCAGGTGGTGGAGTATCCAATCAAATCTAGGGATGATATCTTGGACACATGCGGTCCTCTATATAAGGTAGTTTCTATTGCTATGAGGTGTTCGTTCCATTTCTGCTGAGCGAAGCAGTTTATTTAAAAGCCTTCCCATCTTCATGTTTCATGTTTCGTATACATGCATGTTTCATGTACATGCATGTTTCATGTTTTGTCTAATGCATGTACTCAACGGTAACTGTTTCTGCTGCCATCCCAGGCCTTACCCCTGTCCTCCATACAACCAAACAAATGTCAAGCATGCACCTGTCACATCACATGCCCTTTCTTTGATTCCATGCTGTGCAGATAAAGGATCGAAAGTATGGGCGAACCAATGTGGCCATTTACGGTCCTGCATGGGCTCTAGAAGACAATGTGCAATAATGCCAATGGCCATCTGGTTGGCACAGAGTGAAGAACCAGAGTTTCCATTGTCAAACATAATACATGTGTTATTGCTGTGTAGGCTACAGTGGGTTAGCCTTTAGGGGGTACACAATTCTAGGGTTTCATACTTGTACTCCAATGTTCTCATAGTTCATCACTTCTTGTTTCTGACATGGTGTCAAGAGCTTAGGTCCTAGTCCTAGGACCGCTTACCTAAGGGCCCACCGCTAGAAGCGCCCTCGAGCGCCTCTCTCCTAGTGCGCCCTCGTGCGCCTCTCTTCCTCCTGCTGCCCGTGCGCAGCTCGCTAGTGCCGCGTGCGGCCCTTTTTTTCCACGCGTAGCCCGCTAGCGGCCCGCGAGCGGCCTTTTTTTTTCTGAGCGCGCGCCGGCCCCTAACCGCCCGCGCGACCGGCGCCGCCCACGAGCAGCCCCTTGCCGCCCGTCGACCGCCGCCCAGGGTGTCGCAGCCCCGCCCCTAGGCCGCTGCGACGCCCCTCTAGACCGCCGCCCGCGCGCTAGTCAGGCCCACGCACAGCCACGGCCCGCCCGCTACAGCCGCCCACGCGCACGCCCCCCGTCGCGCACCGTCGCGTAGCCCAGCCTGAGCCGAGCCGCGCCGCCCGACCGAGCCGCGCCGCCCTGGCCGAGCCGCGCCGCTCTACCGTGCCCCACCTGCAGCAACTCCTGCCGTACTACTGCTTCAACTACAACTGTTACTAATACTCCTACTGCTGCTATTGTTCCTACTGCTGCTACTGCCACTATGGCCACTCCCTCTATTCTCACCTTTGACGCTGAGAGCCGCCCGATTAAGTTTGAGGTTTGGTTAGATGACCTCCACCTGTTCCTCCAGATCACTGCCAAGGACGATGTCTCCCTATATGACCACACGTCAGGCGCCGCTCCCGCACCTCCCGCTACTGCTGACAGTACTGCTCGCTCCCAGTGGCAGACCCGTGATGCTCACGCTCGCCTAGCCGTTCGCAGCCACCTGCCGTTAGATGAGCGCGAGCACTTCGGCCAGCATAAGACCGCTAAAGAACTGTACGACGCAGTAGTCGCGCGCTACTCCTCCCCTGCCACTGCTGCTATAGGCCGTCTCTCACTGCCCTACCTCTTTCCCGACCTGTCCGCCTTTGCCACTGTAGCTGACCTCATCACCCACCTCCGTACCAGTGACCTCCGCTACCGTGCCGCGCTCCCCCCCGATTTCCTCGCCAAGAACCCCCCCCCGATGTACCTCACACTATACCACCTTGTTACCCGCCTCCCTGACTCCCTTCGCACTGTCAGGGACCAGTTTCTCGCCCTCTCCCCCACTGACCTCACTGTCGACCTCCTCGAGAAGGAACTCCTAGCAGCTGAGAAGAGCATTGTAGCTGTAGGTGCCTCTCGTGGTGACCCCCGCACCCCCTTCTTTGAGGGGTGTTCCCCTTCCCCCCTCCTCCCCTCCATTGCATCTGCTGCTGCTGTCGACTACCTCGGAGCTGAGGGAATCGGGGCCGCGTCTACTCCTAGTGGGAGGCGCAAGGGCGGCAGGGGCAAGGGGGGCAGGGGTGGTGGAGGTGGAGGCGGGGCCGGCGGCGGTGGAGGGGGTGGGGGGGGGCGGGGGTGGTGGCGGAAGTGGGAGTGGCGCGGGTGGTGGGGGGGTCAGTGGCGGCACAGGGGGTGGTGGCGGCGGCGGCGGTGGTGGGGGTGGTGGGGGCGGTGGTGGCAGTGGTGGTGGCGGTGGAGCGGGTGGCGGGCGCGGTGGAGCGGTGCAGCGTGGGGGATTCGGCAGTGGCCAGAGGCAGCAGCAGCAGCGTCCCGGCGAGACTCCCTCGCCCCAGCAGCTCCGTGAGTGGTACTCTCAGCGTGGGGGGTCTGGGGGTGGGGGTACCTGCCCGTACGTCATCCGTACAGGTGACCGCGCTGGCCAGACTTGTGGGAGGTTTCACACGGCGCAGCGCTGTTTCTTTCGCCTCGACGACGCCTGGCGCGAGCAGTTCCCTGACGCCTCTGAGCTGCCTCGCTGGGCTGATCTGCTTAGGAAGGGGATTGATGTCTTTGCTCTTGATTATGATGCTATCCTTGCTGCCATGTATGCATTGACTATTAGTGCTGAGGGTGACTGTTACCTGAGTGTGCCGCCCGACCCAGGTATTGGGCCTGGTGAGACTGCTGCTCTAGGTACTAGTGCGTCTACTACCCTTGGTACTGGTAAGGCTGCTGCGCTAGGTGCTCGTGCGTCTGCGTCTGCTGGTACTGGGTCTACTGCGGCACTGCACACATTCACACTGGACTCAGGTGCTTCCCGCTGTTTCTTTCGTGACCGCACTGTCCTTGAGCCGCTAGCTCGGCCTGTTGCTGTCTCCCTTGCTGACCCCTCTGGGGGCCCGGTCCTTGCGACCTCCTCCACTGTCCTCCCTTGTCCTGCGGCCCCGTCTGGCACTCTGTCGGGTCTCTACCTCCCCTCGTTCTCTACGAACTTGGTGGCGGGCTCTGCTCTCCAGGACGGGGGTGTTCACCAGTTCACCCCTGCCTATGAGCGGGTGACCCACTGTACGTGTGCTCGGACGGGTCGCCACCTGGCTACCTTCACTCGGCAGCCGGGGTCCGACCTGTACACACTGACCACTGAGTCCCCTCAGGTAGCTGCGTCTGCATCTGCGTCAGGTCAGCTGTCGGCTCCCTGCTCGTGTCGCTCCCTGTCGCACCAGACCGTCCTCTGGCACCACCGCCTTGGTCACCCCTCCGTGCAGCGCCTTCGTGCCATGCACTCCCGGTACCTTGTCTCTGGTCTTCCCAGAGTTCTCCCTCCCCTCCCACCCTCGCCTGCTCCTCCCTGTCTTCCTTGTGTCGAGGGGCGGCAGCGCGCCACCCCTCACTCCTCCTCGTTCCCTCCCACAGAGGCTCCCTTGCAGACTCTTCACCTGGACGTGTGGGGCCCGGCCCGCGTCCGGGGACAGGGCCACGAGCGGTACTTCCTGCTGGTCGTCGACGACTACACGCGCTACACCACGGTCTTCCCCTTGCGCACCAAGGGTGAGGTCCCTGATGTTTTGATCCCTTGGATCCGCGCCGCTCGTCTCCAGCTCCGCCAGCGGTTCTAGTTGGACTTTCTCGTCCTGCGTCTGCACTCTGACAGGGGTGGTGAGTTTTCCTCCGCCCTCCTGGCCGCCTACTGTGCGGAGCACGGCATCCGCCAGACTTTCACGCTTCCGGCCTCCCCACAGCAGAATGGGGTTGCTGAGCGCCGCATTGGTTTAGTCATGGAGGTCGCTCGTACCTCCATGATCCATGCGGCTGCCCCCCATTTCCTGTGGCCGTTTGCAGTGCGGTATGCTGCCCATCAGCTCAACCTTTGGCCCCGTGTCTCTGCTCCGGAGACCTCGCCCACACTGCGTTGGACGGGGGAGGTTGGCGATGCGTCGGTGTTTCGAGTCTGGGGATGTCGAGCCCTTGTTCGCGATACCTCCGCTGACAAGCTCTCCTCCCGTGCCGTTCCCTGTGTCTTCCTTGGCTTTGTCCCGGATGCGCCTGGCTGGCAGTTTTACCACCCCACCTCGGACCCTGAGTCTGACCAGTTTCGTGCTGAGCACCCTACTGTCACGCGTCTGCTAGCCACTGTTGTCACTGACCCCTCGTTTGAGTCTTCTGCTGCGTCTGCCTTGGTCGCTGAGCTTGTTGACTTTGCTGCTGCCTGTCGTCTAGACTACGCTGCTAGCCTTGTTGCTAAGTCTGAGTCTGTCTGTCCTCCGTCCGTCGGGGGTGAGTGTGCTCTTAGCACGGACGTCCTTGAGGACAAGCACGAGGACCTTGAGTGTCTTGCAGCCGCTGCGCCTCATCTCGTGGCCATGCTGCTTGCCCCTGAGGGAGACCCGGATGCTATAGACATCCCCACACCGCGCTCTTACGCTGAGGCGATCGCGGGTCCCTACTCCTCTCAGTGGCAGGCAGCCATGGACGCAGAGATGGCATCCTCGAAGTCCACTAGCACTTACGTCGACGACGTTCCCCCTCCTGGGGCGAACATCGTCAGTGGCATGTGGATTTTCAGGGTGAAGCGGCCGCCGGGTTCTCCGCCTGTCTTCAAGGCTCGTTACGTTGCCCGAGGCTTCAGTCAGCGAGAGGGAGTCAACTTCTTCCAGACCTTCTCCCCCACACCGAAGATGACCACTCTTCGGGTGCTGCTGCACGTTGCCGCTCAGCGTGACTACGAGCTTCACTCTCTTGACTTAAGCACAGCTTTCTTGCAGGGAGTCAACTTCTTCCAGACCTTCTCCCCCACACCGAAGATGACCACTCTTCGGGTGCTGCTGCACGTTGCCGCTCAGCGTGACTACGAGCTTCACTCTCTTGACTTAAGCACAGCTTTCTTGCAGGGAGTCAACTTCTTCCAGACCTTCTCCCCCACACCGAAGATGACCACTCTTCGGGTGCTGCTGCACGTTGCCGCTCAGCGTGACTACGAGCTTCACTCTCTTGACTTAAGCACAGCTTTCTTGCAGGGCAGCCTGCACGAGGAGATCTGGCTGCGCCGCCCTCCTGGCTTCACTGGGTCGTTTCCTCCTGGTACCCAGTGGAGCCTCCGGCGGCCAGTCTACGGTCTCCGCCAGGCGCCACGTGAGTGGCACGACACACTGAGGACGACACTTGCGGCTCTTGGGTTCACGCCTTCTACTGCTGACCCGTCGCTGTTTCTGCACACCGACACTTCGCTGCCGCCGTTCTACATCCTCGTGTGCGTCGACGACTTGGTCTTTGCCACTGCTGACACTGAGGCTCTCGCCCACGTGAAGTCCGAACTGCAGAAGAGACACACGTGCACAGACCTGGGTGAACTGCGCAGCTACCTTGGCTTGCAGATCACCCGGGACAGAGCACGCCGCACCATCACACTGACTCAGTCACACATGGTGCAGCAGGTCCTTCAGCGCTTCGGCTTCACCTGGTCCTCAGCACAGGCCACTCCTCTGGCTATAGGTCACTCGCTCTCAGCTCTGCCTTCGGATGAG